AGCAGCAACAAGAGGTCATCCTCATCAGCGACGGGACGGGTCATCAGATCGAGTCCCGATGGACCTGTCGGACCCGGTCGTGAGAGCCGTGGTGGAGGAGGTCATCGACCAGGTCGTGGCGCAGATCGAAGAAGCGCTAGTCTGGGCCGCGGAGACGGTCGTCGACTCCACAGAGAACCTCATCTCGACCGTCTTCCAATTGGTGTCGAAAAGTGCGTAGATAGGTCATCATCATCCTGTACTGTACTATATAAACATTGAATTATTGAAATCCTCATATTAATTATGGTGATGATGATGGATGCTGCTGCTGTGGGTCTGAATATCAATCAGCACCACCACAATCAGGAGCTTCATCATATATTTCAGCTGTTGTATTCATCATCATAATACTGTACTGTATTTTACAGCCAACCAACAACATCATCTTCAATGTCTCTTTGCAGCATAATCAGTGCAACAATTTTTGATGCATTACTGCATTAACAATTTTTCATAGCAACACAATAGAGGAAAATTAGTCCATTATGGAGTCAAATCTTGATAAGCCACCAACATTTCCTTGTGAGATTTGTGTGAGTTTGTGGTTTGTCAAAAAAGGGAAGATAATATGAAAATAAATAAAATAGGAAACAAAATTCTTATTTTTTAGAGTACACTATTACATGCACTTTTTCCAGACAATTCAACTTAGGGACACTTAAAATCCAAAAAATCAGGCCCAACATCCAGACATTGGCTTGAGCTGGGGACACTTTTCTGAAGTTTTCCCAAAAAACAAAGCATTTCATTTTTAATTTTGGTATACTTCAAACATATCAAGCTATTTATATTCACAAAAATTTAAAAGAATACTTAATGATAAATTCACTGTAATTCATAATCAAAAGCAAGCTGTTTTTTTTCAGAGATGTTATGTATATATTCTAGCAAGACTTATTCTTTTTCTTTACTTTTTGATCTTGTTTTGACACCGATAGATCAGATTCTACGTGTTTTTGTTCTGCACTGTTGTTTTCCACAACTTGAAGTTGAAGAAAAAAATTTGCATCAAACACTTTCTGAGGACTTATTTCTAATTTTTGACAAAAAAAAGACAGCCAATTAAATGCATTAGTTTTGAAGTGTAAGGGAAAATGAGACTTGAATCAGGGACATTCCAACATCAGGACACTCTTAATGTACGCATTACGGTCTCAGTACGTACTGTATGCATACAGGGACAATATTTAGGTCCATATAGAATTATAGATGACCCGATTACGTCCATGCACATCTCGAGGCCCCAATCAAGTTCCCAGTAGGTCTGATGTTCTCAATTTTTCTCTTCCAATCCATCCAATATTACGAATGCAGTGTGGAAAACAAACACCGGCTAGACGACAAGGACGAGCCTTATTCCATCAATGACAAAACCATCATCACGACGAGTCATCGGCGTCGCAGCAGCAGCAGTAACAAACACAACAATAAGTGCCGTCATTATCGTCGTCATGCTGCCAATGAAAATAATACCTGTATAGCAGCCAGCATCAGACCTCCAGCAACGCCGGAATCATGTCGTCGTAGTCGTCGTCGTGACGACGATGAGGGCATCACTCGTCGTGCGAAATTATCAGACGACGACGACTGCTTTGCAACAGCGCCTGAAGATGGCGGCAATTGCGACAGTGGCGTCGTCACGACGAACATCACACACGACGACAGCTTCATCAGCAGTAATAATGCGAGACGGAAGCTGAAAAAAGTCTTGAGGTATACAGCACGATCAAATAGTTCATCATGTGAATCCTA